GAAGGGGACCGTGGACTGTGTCATACATATCCATTAGCACTCCGTACTCTGCCCCCTCCATTGCTCCCAATGCAATACACATATGGAATAGGCTACATGGGTTGTAGAGAAAAAACTTTACTAACTGTAGCTAGGTTTCCATCCAATTGGCGATAGATTTTCATGTGAATATTCTAAACTCCACATAAAAATAAAAAAAATCGAATTTTCCCACCAGAAACCATGTTTCCATCCAGTTTTTATGTGTGTAGTCATACCCTATATAAAGAAAATCATGACAGCTGTGATGGAAACAGGTAGTTTTTGTACAATAAATGCCAACAGATAATTTGTTAATTCCACATGGTGAAATTAATTATGCGACAAATGGTGGTGAAAACGCCTTTATGCGTAAATATTAATATAATAACCATCATATCGAAGTAAACGTGGACTCGCGCGATAATGGTGTGTGGTCCCCCCCACTATGACTCGGTTCACCCAGCAGTTTATTAGGCTACATATTAAATAGATTATTATGCACTTCACAAGGTGGTGAAAGTGCACGGTGATCTTGATGTTTTCCAATAAATATATAGTCTTATAGAGCTCGCCAGTTTGTAGTCCTAAAACCCGGAAATAAGTTACCTCTGGTTCGTTCAGCCATCCCTATGGGAAAATGAATGGGGATATAATAGAGATTTGGAATAAAGGTCGAAAATAAGGTCCGAGGTTAACAGGCTGAGATCTTATAAATGTTGTGCTATGAGATAATAGCAGTCAGTTAACATGACCTTTTATGAATTATGAAGCCTTTATGTGATTGATGTGTTTTTTTATTATTAGCCAACATAGGCCTACATTCTTCCAAATTCACAAAAAGGGACGTTAGATTATGAAGATTATCTCATAGAACAAGACGTATAAGATCTCCTAAACCTGTGTTTACCACAGACCTTATTTTTGGCGTTTATCCAAAAACCCTAGAAAAACGCCATTCATTTTCCTCATCGGCTTTGTCCAACGAACCATGGCGGAGTTGATGCCTTACAAAATGACGACATTACTAGTTCTCTCTATTCTGGTGACACGATGATTGATGGTTGACTGCTGTTTGACAAATAAAAATATTCTCGTTTTGAGGCCTATATTCATAATAATCTCATCATGTAGACTAGCCTACCCACACTGTATCTGCGAGTTGTTGGCTAGAGCGCACGTGCCAAGACCAGAGTAGGCACATTTGCTATTTAACACAATTACGAAGTTTTTGTGACAAAACTATCAGTAGACTTGAAAATGTGATGGAAACACATTGAACTTTAGATTTGTAAAATGTATGGTACATGAAAACTTAAGCGAAAAAGTAGGTTACATTTTGTGTCCGTTTGGTGGAAACACCACTGGTGGGAAAATGCGCGTTCTTTTCTTTATGCGGATGTTTTAATATTCGCATGAAAATCTATAGGCACTGATGGTTTGTCACAAAAAATGTTACGTTATATAGGCTAGCGAATGTGCCCACTCTTGTATTGGCACTGCACGAGCCAACAGCTCGCAGATAGGCTACACTGCATGTATAGTCAATAGTATACACGATCAGATTATTATGGACAAAAGAGATAAATTATTTTTATTTGTCAAATGGCAGCCAAGCATCGACATCATGTCACCACAATAAGAACCTCGATATTTATTGGAAAGGACCATCAAGCTAAACAGCGTGCAATTTCACCACCCTGTGAAGTTCACCATAACATATTTAATCTGTAGCCTAATTAACTCCATGCTTGCCCGAGTCGAAGTGGGAGGACCACACAACATATTATATCAACATTTATTCTCGCATCATTTACCGACACAAAAATATCCCTCCTTGTCTAGCGTATTTTGTTTTGTCAACATTTGGAAAGTTTACCGACAAATTTGCTGTTTCCATCAGGCCCATTTTAGGCCTACTTTACTCGCATAGAAATGTTGGATGGAAACCTGATTTAGTCTCAGCTAAACTGGGTTTTTTACTCTGCCCCATGCCCCAATGCAATATAATACATATTGGGTTGTAGAGAAAACCACTATAGAAAAAACTTTCCAACCTGTCTCAGCTAAAGTGTTTAGGTAAAGTGTCTATTTATATGGCCCCTGTGCCCTATGCCTCTGTCATAGAAATATATATAATATAGTGGTAGAATTAATAATAGAATGTATGATTTCTTTGATGATTATTTGTTGATTTTTAAAGAAGAGTCCTTCATGTTTGAGTTGCCATGGAGATTCCTCTCGGAATTTGGCGCCCAGGACGGCATTCTGGGATTACAGGGTCTCCCCAAACTGTCATGGCGTCCTAGGAAGATGGCGACTACCATTCAGCAGGCGTTGCTGGATTTCGTAACCATTTAAATTCAAGGAATTGGAGACATAGGTAACAAAACTGTGGAAATATGTGTTATAGAGCAAGCCTCAGTTGTCTGCATGCATATTGTTGGTTTGGTGCGACGAGTCGAGTCAAATAATCTACCAACTGCTAGCAAGCTAGTCGAATGAATGAGGCCGCGGGTGCTGATTCGGCGTGTCTGTTAGATAACCCGTAGTGGCTAACTAGCTAGCTACGTTGGTCGTTTTAAAGTTCACACAAGTATTTAAAGTAGCTACGCTTAAGATAGCTAACTTGTTGTTGGACCATTGTTGAGTGGGTTTAAAAATGACACAATCCTCTCGTTGATAACTAGCTAGCTTTAGCGTGCTACGCTAGCTAGTTGACTCTAGCTAACTAGCTAGTACTAGCGAGCTAGCGGGTAACGTTACTTTACTTAGCTACTTTGGTTGCTATGTAGCTACCCAGCAAACTAGCTTGCTAACTCTTAGCCAGTGTTTAGCACACTTGTTGTTTTTATCTACCTAACATACGTTACCTAGCAAGTGTTATTGCCAGTTGATATGGACGATTACAAAAAGGTTGCCTGTAAGTGGGCCATTGGTTATGTAATACTGCTGCAGTGTTTTTATTTTTGTGTGCCCAGACTCAGTGTAACCATGAGGACATTCATGGCAGTTTGTTTAACGGTAACGATGTAATTCATTTGTATTGTCTTGACATTCTGAAACAACCAGGGGTGTATTCATTATTTGGATTCAGTTGCAAAACGTTTCGTCTGTTGCAAAACGTTTTGCAATGGAAACGGTTTATTCTAGGAAGTAGGAAGGACACAAACAAAAGGGGAGGGACCTACCTGAATTTGTCCAATAGGAACACTCGTTTTCGTTGCAAAAGGTTTTAGTTTGGAGTAGGCCTAAACGGTTTCTATTGCAAAACGTTTTGCAACAGATGGAAAATTTTGTAACGGAATCTGACTAATCAACACATCCCTGTTGAGTGCCCTGGAGTAACTGTTCTGTTTTTCCCTGTAGAGTGACAGACAAGGCCCAGGAGAACAGTGACAGGGGCCAGAGGTTTTCAGGCTGTCACTCAATCCCACACAGAGCTGATAAAATGGAGTGTGCAGTGGACACTCTGCAAGGTGTGTGATCAAGATTTACAATAGAAATATCCCTGTAGTGTGATGGATGGTTATCCTCACATAAAGGGTTATACCTAAATATGGGAAATTCATGACCAATAAATGTAACCAACCTTTCCTTGGTGATACTTCTTAAATTCTCATTTGGAAAGCACCGGTGTCTTATAAACGCCTGTTTCTAGTTGCTGGTGGAACTCTGATTTAATGAGGAAATATTCAGAAAGATATTAAATCCACTTTTTGTACCAAGTGAGAAATGCCTCTCACCTGTGTGACATATCTTTGTTTGGGTTGCACTGTGTGGCATGCTGTCACCTTGTTCTACGGCCACGTTGCTTAGAAATGACGATTAGTTCTGCCTCCCGAGTGGCACAGTGGTCTAAGGCACTGCATCACAGTGCTAACTGTGCCACTAGAGATCCTGGTTCGAGTCCAGGCTCTGTCGCAGCCGGCCGCGACCGGGAGACCCATGGGACGGTGCACAATTGGCCTAGCGTTGTCCAGGTTAGGGGAGGGTTTGGCCAGCAGGGATGTTCTTGTCCCATCGCGCACTAGCGACTCCTGTGGCGGGCCGGGCGCAGTGCACGCTGACACAGTCGCCAGGTGTACAGTGTTTCCTCCGACACATTGGTGCGGCTGGCTTCCGGGTTAAGCGGGCGTTGTGTCAAGAAGCAGTGCGGCTCGGTTGGGTTGTGTTTCGGAGGACGCACAGCTCTCGACCTTCGCCTCTCCCGAGTCCGTACGGGGGTTGCAGCGATGGGACAAGACTAACTACCCCCCACCCAAAAAATAATAATAATAAAAATAAGAAATTACTAGTTCCAGCTAAGATGTTGGGAAATGTGAGATGTCTGGCAGCTAAGATGATGAGAGATCTCCACACTCTGTACAAATGAATATTCTCTGGTTATCGGAGTTTCACCAGCAACTGGAAACAGACACCAGTGGCCAGACATGCTCCGGAACTTTGGCGACTAGTAAGTATTTTCAGCATATGTCAATGTGTAGGATATACATGCATAATCTATGAGCAGAATTACTCTCTCACCTCAATTAAAGACGAAATTCCTAGTTTGAAAGCAACTGTTTTCTGGAAGCTGGGGGGAGAGAGATTATCCCTTTGTATTCAATTTTGAAACAAGAATAAACCTTTCTCACTCATGCCATATATGCCACTTTTTTAACGAGAAGTTGCTTTTTAGGGGCATTCGCTCTTTAAGGAAGTATCTGCAAGTAAATGTTTGTTGAACGTTTCTTTGCTGTGCTTTCAATAGACCATCGGCTCGACCTCAAGCTAGCTGTAGCTATGCCACTGGATTGGCTAGATCATGATATGCCAATGACACACACACCAGAGGTTGCCAATTCTCTTCCTGGCCATCATTCGTTAGGAATGTATGTCACATGTTGCTGATGAAACTCACCATACACGTAATTTATCCAGACAAAGAAATGGGATTTGTTAATCTGTAACTAAGGAATGTGATTGGTTAATCTGTGCAGGTGGGGATGATGCAGCAGAGAGTGAACACACTCTAGAGGAAATGTCTGCAAAAGAAGGAAGTGAGATGCCGCACAAGAAGAACAAGAAGCACAAAAAACACAAGGGCAAAAAGAAGAAGAAGAAACGCGGCAAGGGAGAGCGGGCGACCAGCTCAGAGTCGGCTCCAGAGTCCGATGTAGAGAAGCCGCCAGTCAGAACCAGAGCAGGGTGAGGCTCCTCCCATTAGAACTAGAACATTGTTTGAGTCCTCCCATTAGAACCACAACAATGAGGAAGTTTGATTAAGCTGAGCTGCTGTGCACGTGCTTAACCTACGTCACTTTTGTTTTGAGACGACTTTGCCATCGGCCAGAGCAGGGAACCTGGCTCACGCCCGCCCGGGAAGCAGCCCAGTTCCAAAATGAATGCAATCACTTTTCAACTGGTGCAAACTCCTCCCACCGGAGCAACCTAGGCCAGATAATTGAATCCCCTCACTGCTTGACTCTGCCCATTACAACCAGACCTGTGCTAGACAGAACAGATTGTTGCCTGTTTACCTCTAGATGGTTTCCTCACCAGAATTTAGGAGACAGCAGCAGAAATGTTGTACTAATCAGCCAACAAGCTCTTGTTTGTCTTTATACTATTGGGACGATTGTGAATATTGTATTTATTATATTTGCTGTTATAATAAATGTTTTCTTTGTTGTTTTTAGCTCAAGGAGTGCTGGCCTAGTGGCCTCTGATGCAGGAGCAGACACAAAAGAGGAGGCAACAAAGGACTTGATCACAGGTAAGGAGTGTGGCTCTGGGGTCGGGTGTAGGAAACGAACAGATGCAAAAGTTATTTGTTACTAATGCCTGTGTACCGGTCCTCGCAGATAAACCTGAGATAAGTGATGCTAAATCCAGAAAACACAAAAGACATGTTGGGAAAAAGAAGAAAAAGAGGAGGAGAAAAGGGGAAGAAAAGCAGGAGAAGAACTCACCTTCACACTCCCCATCAGAAAACGAATCTATGTCAGGGACAGATTCTGAGTCTGAGGGGAAGCCAGCTGGCACGGCAGTGCAAGCATTTCCCATGCTGTCTAAGGCCAGACAAGAGGAGAGGGTGTCCTCCCTATGCGTAACTCTCGGCCAAAAAGAGGGATCTCTGAAAATGTGTCAAACCTCAGATGAGGAGTCTGCGGATGCAAGAGGAAAGACGGAAGAGAATGCGCCCCCTGCTGACAGGGATGACCAAACAGTCTCTGTCATAAAGGCAGAAGATCCACGGAGCGACAGGAGCTTCAGCCACACCCAGGAGCTTCCGGACATCATCCCCAAGCAAGGCGGCCAGAGGGAGGAGACCAGAGGAGGATTAGAGCTTGAGCAGGACGGCCAGAAGGAGGACATCAACGCAGGGCAGAGGTCAAATGTGAATAACCATGCTCCCTCCAGGTCAAGGTCACAGTCACTGACGGACACTAAAAGAGCCAGATCGAGTCTTAGTCGTTCGACAAGCCCCAAGCGGTCCAGATCAAGCCGCAGACGTTCACGAAGCCCCAAACGATTGTCTCGATCCGGCTCAAAGAGCATGACTCCCAAGAGGAAGCAGTCTAAGTCCCTTAAAAGGGCAGGACGTAAGTCCCCTTCTTTGTCCCCTAGGACAGGACGTAAGTCTCTTTCTCTCTCCCCTAGAAGAGGATACAAGTCCCCTTCTCTGTCCCCCAGGAGAGGATGGAAGTCTCCTTCTCTGTCCCCTAGAAGAGGATGCAAGTTGTCTCTGTCCCCTCGGAGGGGACGCAAGTCGTCTCCTTTGTCCCCTCGGAGGGGACGCAAGTCGTCTCCTTTGTCCCCTCGTAGGGGACGCAAGTCATCTCCTTTGTCCCCTCGGAGGGGACGCAAGTCGTCTCCTTTGTCCCCTCGGAGGGGACGCAAGTCGTCTCCTTTGTCCCCTCGGAGGGGACGCAAGTCGTCTCCTTTGTCCCCTCGGAGGGGAAGCAAGTCGTCTCCTTTGTCCCCTAGGAGGGGACGCAAACTGTCTCCTTTGTCCCCTAGGAGGGGACGCAAACTGTCTCCGTCTCCAAGACAAGGGCGGCGGTCTGAGTCCAGGCCTCGCAGTCGTGTCAGGAGGTTGAGGACCAGAACCCCTCCCCCTCGTCGTGGTAGGCGCTCGAGATCCCGCTCGCCTGTGAGGCTGACTCGCCACTCACGCTCCAGATCTAGACGGCTCCGTCGCTCCCGGTCCCCGTCTCGCAGGAAGAGGTCCTCCCCCAGGACACGACAGTCCCGGTCTCCGGTCAGGAGATGCAAGCGGACTCGCTCCCGCTCCGTCGTGATCCTGAAGAGGAACAGGAAAGGCTCACTGTCCAAATCCCCAACCGGCAAGAACAACAAGTCCCGCTCCAGGAGCTGCAGGAAATCCATGTCACCGGTACAGAAAACACTTTCTAGATCACCGAAGCGGAGCAGGACAAAGTCCAGATCCCCAAGACGCAGTAAAACATCAACATCACCATGTAACAGGTCTCATACTCCTAAATCCAAATCCCTGAAAATAAGTAAGCATTCAACATCAAAATCACCCAAAAGAGACATATCGAAATCCAGATCTGTCTCAAGCGACAGGCAATCTGAGAGCGTATCCCCAGAACGCTCAAGATCCAGGTCTACTGCCAAAGACCTGAAGTCTCCGAAATTGTCCGACAAACATACTGCAGACAAGACTGTGAATGATGAAGCGCCTATGAAGCCTCTTGGGGAGGCTGTAGCAGCAGCTGCAGCAGGGCCTTGGAAACCCCTCCCTTGGGCTGCAGCCTCCAGTTCTATCATACACGGCAAGCCAGTGACTGGGCAGGCTGACGAGAGCAGCTCTGAGATTCCATCTGAAGACCACGACTCCGTAGCAGAAGACCCAAAGGGGGCAAGAAGCCCAACAAGCTCCTCCTCTGAAGAGCCAGATGAGCATGCTACCTCCAGGTCTGTTTCACCAGAGACCGTTCCTGCTGATCGCCGCTACAGGTCCTCATCTTCTAAATCCTCCATCAAGAAGACATCATCCTCAAAACAACGGCAGTCCTCAACATCAGCATCTCCTGCCAGGAAGTCCCACTCACCTGCCGGCAGAAAGATGTCCACCTCTCTCTCACGGAGGTGCTCCCGGTCCAAGTCCACCTCTCCCTCTCAGTCCAAGTCTGCCTCCAGAAGGAGACGTTCCAAGTCCCCAGCCAGGAAAAGGAAGTCTGTCTCCCCCCCTGCCAGACGGAAGAAGAGGTCCAAGTCCAGAAGTCCTGCCCGGCGCAAGAGATCACGCTCTAAGTCACCAGCACGGCGCAGGAAGTCACGGTCCAAGTCCAGGACCAAGCGCTCCAAGTCCCGCTCCCCGGTCAGAAGGAAGAGGTCCAAATCCACAGACCGGAGCAAACGCCCCAAGTCTCGTTCTCCAGGCCGGAGGAGAAGGTCCGGGTCGCGACGGCGCCGACCCATCATGCGCAATCGCTCGTTTGACCGGCGCGACCGATGGAAACGAGAACCAAGCCACTCGCCCATCCTCATCCTCCGCAAGCGCCGGTCCACATCTCGAACCCGCCGTAGTACCAGCAAGACCCCTCCTCGTCTCACTGAGCTGGGTAAGACTACAACTATGGAGTTCTCTGGAACCCTCTTCCCAACAGCTAAAGGTATGGAGTTTCTGCGCGTGTGCAGGATTCTCTATTTTACGCACAGTCTCTGCTCTACTCGTTTCGGCTACCCAGAGTACAGGCTACTCTGGCGAATGAATGGTGCTTGTTTAATAAAGTTAGATCAAAGCTGAATCAATGTCTGCAAGATCACATAATGGTAGTGTTCTACTGAATATAATAGCATAGTATAACGTTACTGTAAGACAAAAAACACCACCTAATTTCTTATGAGATTTTAGGACGATTGTGCAAATAGTCGCATTTCTCTGTGGCAAAAACTCAACCGCATGCACCACTAGGCAAAATATGTGCTTTGATTGTAACAAAACACAGGTATGCTACAGTTTAACACAATTTGCTCTAAAATTTGCTCACTGTACATTTTACATTTACATTTTAGTCATTTAGCAGAAGCTCTTATCCAGAGCGACTTACAGTTAGTGAGTGCATACATTTTCATACTGGCCCCCCGTGGGAAACCCACAACCCTGGTGTTGTAAGCGCCATGCTCTACCAACTGAGCTACAGGGGACTAATTCAAAACGACACTGTAGGCTATTTCGAACAACACTGTTGCTAGCTCCAGAAGATCTAAATGCATATCCCCATGAAACTGATTGATGCTGCATGGACGTTTCACCGGTAAAACTTAGACTTGAATGTGACCATTCGCACAATCATCATCTAGTTTCTTATGATATTTTAGGGTGTTTTTGTCTTACAGTAATGTTATGCTATTATATTCGGTTCTGTTATGTAGAACACTATGTTTATGCTATCTCGCAGACAATGATTCAGCTTTGATCCAACTTTATTAAACAAGCACCATTCGCCAGAGTGGCCTGTTCTCTGGGCAGCTGAACGAGTAGAGCAGAGACTGTGCGTAAAGTGGAGAATCCCGCAAATGCGCAGAAGATTAGGACCTTCAGCTGTCGGGAAGAGGGTTCCAGAGAAATTGGATCCGCAGCCACACCATATATACACCAATCCAATGTATTGTCATTGTTAAGTAGCCTCAGTTTAATGGTGGCTGTTCTTGGCACCTTAGAACAGATTAGGTGTGAGAATGTAGTCTGAAATTCCACTGTTGACAGATGTCTGTTCCCTCCTTTCTCTTTCCTCTCCCCTTTCTCTATTCACAGACAAAGACCAGCTCCTGGAGATAGCGAAGGCCAATGCAGCCGCCATGTGTGCTAAAGCAGGTGTGCCCATTCCAGAGAGTCTGAGACCCAAGGCCATCCTCCAGCTTCCCTTGCCCAACCCAGCCCCAACCCCTCTGAATCTGCCTCTTCCCCTGCCCTTGCCTCTCAACATGCCCGGCATGGGAATGCCCAACATGAACATGCCCAACATGAACATGCCCAACATGAATATGGGCAATATGTCCAATATGGCCATGAGTGCTGCCATGGCCAGTATGAAAGCTGCCACCATGACTGCAGCCCTCACCAACATGGCCCAGATGTCAAACATGCCCCAGATGGCTCCCCTCCCCACCATCACCAACAAGCCCCCTCCTAGCCAGGCTCCCCAAACAACCCTTCCCCCCCCTCAACCTGGACCACATAGAGGAGGTGAAGAGGAAGGTGACTCAGCAGGCCAACATCTACAGCATCAAGGAGCTCACCGAGGTAATACTTACAAGAGACTTGTAATGAATGTAATAACAAAGATGTACTTGATCCATTGTGGATGTAGACCCCCCATGATGTATATGACTGTAAGTCGCTTTGGATAAAAGCGTCTGCTAAATAGCATATTATTATTATTATTATTATTATTATGTATTACAGCAAGCATAAAACTTTAGCTCAGACTCCCATTTGTATTGATTTAGGCAATTAAGCCCTCTATCTACTTTCACAGAGTCATGATCTCGTGGATACCATTTTTATGTCTCTGCATGCAGTTTGAAGGAAGTTGCTAACTGCACTATTGCTAACTAGCTTTAGCGCAATGACTGGAAGTCTATGGTAACTGCTAGCATGCTAGTAGATGCCATAGTCTTCCAGTCATTGCGCTAATGCTATTTATCATTGGCTCACAAAACTACATGTAACTTCCTTCATACTGGATGCAGAGACCTAAAAATGATATCCATGACTTTATCTGACTATGGGGAAGTAGATAAAGGGATTCATTGTCAAAATCCCGAAGTATACTTTAAGGTTACAAACATGAATAGAATGAACCTGCATCTTACTGACAAGTCACCCGGTTCCAGATGTTTTATGTAGTTATGTGTATTGAAGTTACAAGCACGACAAGACTAGACTGTGAAGAATACTGTGTTGTTTGGGGGGGTTCTCTTGTATTACTCTGACTGAGTTGACTTCACAATGATTTATGTTTCTAATATCATTCTGTGTGTGTAGAAATGTAAGATGATAGCGGCGAATAAAGAGGAGATGGCCATAGCGAAGCCGCACGTGTCTGATGACGAGGATGAGGACAGGAAGCCCCGTAGCAAGAGCTTCTTAAGTGTAAGAACTCCCATCCTTCATCCTAACATTCACCTATCATACATCCAAACGTTCACGCACATTAGATGAATGAGGAGTAGTAGAGTGATGACATTGTAACTTTGACTTTTCTCTCTATTCCGCAGTAACTTTCTTTGGGGCGCATCAGAGGCACTCCCCATGGATACCATCACCGGGTGGACAGAAGTGCAGGTTGTTGTGGATACAGAGCAGGAACCGTGTCAGATACTGCCAGCCCGTGTTCCCTGGACAATCATTCCCTTCCCTGCCCCTCCCATCAGTGCTCTAGCTGTCTGGGGAAGTGTTTGAAACGTCAGTGATCCTGTGTCCTATTCCAAAGACTGGCCTGAGTGTTCCTGTGTGTCATTGGACGGATTGGAGTGTGTACAGTGTGGTTACTCCTAGCTTCTACATGTTGCTCAGACAGAGCTCTCTGGACAATGACTGAAGCAAAAGGAAAGAAGGAACATATTTTCTATGTTTTGGCGACCCTTTCTAATGTTAAACTTCTGTTTAATTTTTTATTGTGTTCAGTAATTAAATTTCCAGCTCATGGTTCCTTTAGTGACATTTTAACCTGTAATTAAGTGAACTGCTCGGACTGCTCTCGGCACGCTCAGACACACAAATACACACATCAGTAATATGATGGTCAAGTGTGTCCTTACTGACGGGCAGAACGACCAGGTCTCTCCATTGAGAAGACAAGCTTATCAGGGCTTTGTAGGATCCACTCTAAATGTTTTGTCACTTCTCTATATGTGGTAGTGTAATTAACTGATGTAGTATTTAGCTGTTTTAATGACTGAAAATACATTTTAGGATTTCCTTGGTCAGTAGTAGGGTATTATTTGGCTGGCTTTGTACATAATGTGTTGATTATTAAAGGAAACCAAAAAATGACCTGTTTTATGTTCTTGATGTAGGAGTCTAACTTTTAAGGTCCCCTTCTTTTCTAAATCTTTACCTCTAGGTCAGAAGTACTGCAGGGGTGTATTCATTACATCAATTCTGTTGCAAAACGTTTATTAAATGGAAGCAAATTAAACAGAGGGACCTACCTGAATTTCTCCAATAGAAACTCATTTTAATAGCAAAACGGAACATTTTGCAACTGTTTTGGACTAATTACCACCAATGTACTGTATATTCTTTCATTCTAATCAGACTGATTCAGACCTGGTAGACCAGAGGTGCGTTCAGTTCGCTTGAACGTTTGCTACATTGTGAAACGGTTTCCACTGAACAACATGTTTCACCAAAATGTTCTTGTACGTTCTTGAACAGACTTTGAGGTACGTTTGCTCCAGTTTGGTGAGGGTGGCGAGGTGTGGCTTGAAGCAATAAGTGACGTATTTAAAGGGCAGTGGCCGTGCTGACAGCATTCCCCAACCCATAACCCCTCCCTGATTTTCATTAGGTCGTTCAGTACAGCACCGTTTCCATTCAATTGAACGTTCCAGAATGTAAAAACGCATTGAACGTACCCCAGGTGAGTGTTATGTCTGACCTCACAGCTATATGACTAACTCTGAGCCGTGTGACTAAGTTTAACCCCTCTCCCATTCGTTCCACATGGAGAACTCTTATCGACCTCAGCTAGGGATCTAGTGCTAATGAGTCCTGAGGGTGGACTGGAGTTCCTTCTGCCTGGCACTTCGCTGGGTCCTAAAGATCCACAGTTCAATGTTTTACTGTCCCTTATTTGGGCATTTCAGACTGCACGTTCGGAGCAGGGCCAAGGGTGTATCCATTATTTGGAGTACGTTGCAACGGAAACCATTTACTGTTTACTCTAGGAACCAAGAACAGAAGCACAAACGGAGCTAACAAAATGAAATGTTGAGGGACCTACCTGAATTTGTCCAATAGAAACTCTTGTTTTCGCTGGCAAAATGTTTTCAGTTTGAAAAAAACAGTTTCTGTTGAAAAATGTTTTGCAACGGAATCCTATTAATGAATACACCCCAGTTATGATCATGTTGTTTGGACCATGTTGGCCCAAAGGCTCATGGAAGCTCTTTAGTATAAAAAATAATTGATGGAAGATCAATGGTGGAACACTTTTGAAAGCTGGACCATGGTGCCAGGAAAAGGGGTCACACACACTCACTAGGCAACCCCAGTCAGTCCGCTAAATTCTGGTGGAGAGATCAGAGCTGAACTGGTTTCAGAGTTAGATAGTGAGAATGCCAGACTTTTCTGAGGAAGGGGTGGACCACTACCTACTGAATCAAGTGAGGATCATATGCTGCTACGTAGTGTGTGTGTCGTTGTTATTGTGTGTGTGTTAGGTGGACCTGAGGTGCTGGACAGTGGGCAGGTGTTTTGAGAAGGTTTTGAAGATGGTCAGAGATCTGACCGCTGAGGTCAGCAAGATAGACGGACACTTCCAGTCCATCGCCCACGCTGGAGTCAACAACGAGAACATCAAGGTAACACAATGACTTTGATATCTTTCACACAGTGGCCTTCAGTATGTCAATCTACAGAATTATGGGATCCCATCTCTGTGTGTGTGTACAGGACCAGCCTGCCGTGGTGTCTAAATGGGCAGCCATCCTGAGAGGCAGATGTTCCTTCAACCCAGCCATCCAGGTAAGGCCCACTGTACTTGTGTGTGTTAATATTGTGTGTGTGTCTGTGAGGGGTCTGATGATTGTGTGTGTGTGTAGGTCCTGACTCCCAGCCTGGTATTGGTGAGTGTTCCGGTGAGAGGGATGATTGGATATCATTAGCATGTGACTCATCAGTGGAGATACTATTCTCTGACTGGCTCCCTCCTCCCCACTCCTGTCCATGAGCCAGAGAAACTCCACCAATGGCTGGAGCTGGAGAGCTTCACAAGCCCCGCCCAGGACTGGCAGGGAGGATGTGTTAGAGCAGTTCAAAGAATTAGCCAGTTCAATTTCTTAAATATTCTCAAATAACTCAGTATTGATGTGCATGTGTGTGTATGTGTGTCTTTTATAGGATACCAAAGTGTGTATGGAGAGAGACATTGTTCTGGCCAAGGTGGTCAGTCTTTTCAGAGAACATCTAGAGACCGCCATACAGACCTGTAGCTTCAGTAGTGAGTGTGTGTCAGGGTAGGGTAGGGTAGGGCAGGACAGGGTAGGACAGCAGGGCATTAGACCTATCAGACCTCCCACACATACCTATACCGCCACAGGCAACACACACACGCACAAGGTGTTGGGCCAGAGTAAAATCTATAGACTGACCAGGCCACATGGAAACTGAGGTCAAAGGCTTCTCTCGTAGCCAAAGTACACACACACACACAATCTCTAACCCGATCCTGTATGTGTGCAGGTAAGGTCAGCATCTTGGAGTCTGTGGGTTCGGTAGTGTATGTTGCCATAGAGACGGTGGAGGGTGTGATGGAGGCGGAATTTGTTCCCACAGTGGAGCTGGGAGGTCAGCTGGGAGTCATGCTTACATTTACATTACATTTTAGCCATTTAACAGACGCTCTTATCCAGAGCGACTTACAGGAGCAATTAGGGTTAAGTGCCTTGCTAAAGGGCACATCGACAGATTTTTCACCTAGTCGGCTCGGGGATTAGAACCAGCGACCTTTCGGTTACTGGCACAACACTCTTAACCACTAAGCTACCTGCTTACTAACCCCTACTTCCCTACACACTAAACCCTATAACTTTCTATACCCTAACTTACTTTCTCTTTATCTCTCCCTCTCTCCAGTTGTTTTGGTTTAACCTCATGGCGACGTCTAACTACCACGGGCTGTTGACGTTCTCACGGGCGGAGCAGGCGTTGCTAGGGGGCCTTGACGAAGACGGTGGTTGCCGTAGGAAGTGTTACCATGTCGTCAGACAGCTGAAAGAGGACTCATGGTGTCCTGGAACCAAGCCTGTCATCACAGCCTTCCACCTGCAGGTATCCAATCACAACACAGCGTCTCTGCCCAGGGCCTACCCCCTCCTCAGCAAACCAATCAGCTCTCACCTTTTCAGATGTTTATGATTTTTAAGTTATGTTTATATATTTGTGGTATACATACAGTCATCTTTCTATGTGTCTCTCTGTAACCCCCCTCTCTCCCTCTCTCTCTCTACAGACTCTGTTGTTCTGGTGCTGTGAGAAGTTTTCATGTGGGCGACTGGCGCTGTATAAAGGAGTGTGTGCTGCGTGTAGCCAGGAAGCTGTTAAAGCGTGTGAGCCAGCGCTACCTGAAACTCCTACAACCTGCTGTACAGTACCACTACTGAGTTAGACCACACAACCCAGAAGATCAACGTCAGCCTCTATGTCCAATAAGTACCAAGGCAGCAGCTACTCTTCCTGGGGTCCAGCAAAATTAAGGCAGTTGTACAATTTTAAAAACATTATTATGGACAGACTTCTCCCCATCTTAGCTACTGTTGTTGCAATATGTTTTGACCATGACAGTTTACAATCTAGGGTTACTCCACGTGTATGTGTATTTTCCATTTATTTTGCCTCATCCCTCTCAACCATATAATTGTTCAATTCCTCATCAATCCACAGTGATTTAACCGTTTTTACAGTCATTTTCTTAATGGGTGCATGCTTTTTAGTAACTGGGATAAGCAATTTCATAAATGTGTCAAGTGCAGCATTTGGTTGCTTCTCATTACACACTACAGACCAACAAATATTTACATCAACAACATAGGAATCACTACAAAACTTAGTGTATGACCTCTTATACACTATATTAGGCCCATCCTTTGGATCTTTGGTTTTCCTAGATATGGCTACTATATTGTGATCACTACATCTGATGGATTTGGAAACTGCTTTCAAGCTTATTTCTGCAGCATTAGTGAAGATGTGATCAATAAATGTTGATGATTTAATTCCTGTGCTGTTTGTAAATACCCTGGCAGGTTGACTGATAACCTGAACCAGGTTGCAGGCACTAGTTACAGTTTTAAGCTTTCCTTGAGTGGGCAGCCTGATGAAAGCCAGTCAATATTTAAATCACACAGAAAATATCCCTCTGTTGATATCACATACATTATCAAGCATTTCACACGTTATCCAGATACTGACTGTTTGCACTTGGTGGTCTATAGCAGCTTCCAACCAGAATGGGCTTTAAGTGAGGCATATGAACCTGTAGCCATATTACTTCAACAGTATTTAACATGAGATCCTCTCTAAGCTTTACAGGAATGTGGTTCTAAATATAAATGGCCACACCTCCACCTTTGGCATTTCTGTCTTTTCTGTAGATCTTATAACCATGTATTACTTCCACTCTATCATCAAAGGTATTATCTAAGTGAATTTCAGAGAATGAATGTCATCTGTTACTAGCAATTTATTGATTTAATTAAACTTGTTTGTTAAGCTACATATGTTAACGTGGGCTACTTTTAGCACTTTTCTGGGATGCTTGATTGTTTTTATTGCGAATCTTAGCGGTGGTAGACATTTACATTTTAGTCATTTAGCAGACGCTCTTATCCAGAGCGACTTACAGTTAGTGAGTGCATACATTATTATTTTTTTCATACCCCCCGTGGGAATCGAACCCACAACCCTGGCGTTGCAAACGCCATGCTCTACCAACTGAGCTACATGCTCAAGTTATTTATGTTAGTGCAGGGTGAGCTGCACACAGTGGACTTCCTGCTAGGGCACACCGCCTCAGTGCTAACAGAATAACTCTGGTTCATAGGCACATAATTACTGCACACAATAGCTATAGGATCAGCAGAGGCATTCAGGGCAGTAAGAGGGACATAAATTAGGTTACTTACTTTGTCTTCCAGCGCCCCTGGGATAATGTACATTTTCTGAAGTATTATGACAACTCAGTGACACAATGGTAAGGATTAAATGAGCTGGGCTTGGGTCATTGTGACCAAGAACCCGATGGTCTCTCTGACATAGCTCCAGAGTTCCTCTGTGGAGATGGGAGAACCTTCCATAAGGACAACTATCTCTGCAGCACTCCACCAATCAGGCCTTTATGGTAGAGTGGCCAGACGGAAGCCACTCCTCAGTAAAAGGCACATGACAGCCCGCTTGGAGTTTGCCAAAAGGCACCTAAAGGACTCTGACCATGAGAAACAAGATTCTCTGGTCTAATGAAACCAAGATTGAACGCTTTGACCTGAATGCCAAGCGTCACGTCTGGAGGAAACCCGGCACCATTCCTACAGTGAAGCATGGTGGTGGCAGCATCATGCTGTGGGGATGTTTTTCAGTGGCAGGGACTGGGAGACTAGTCAGGATTGAGGGAACAATGAACGGAGCAAAGTACAGAGAGATCCTTGATGAAAACCTGCTCCAGAGCGCTCAGGACCACAGACTGGGGCGAAGGTTCAACTTCCAACAGGACAACAACCCTAAGCAAACAACGCAGGAGTGGCTTTAGGACAAGTCTCTGAATGTCCTTGAGTGGTCCAGCCAGAGCCCGGACTTGAACCCGATCGAACATCTCTGGAGAGATCTGAAAATAGCTGTGCAGCGACGCTCTCCATCCAACCTGACAGAGCTTCAGAGGATCTGCAGAGAAGAATGGGAGGAACTCCCCAAATACTGGTGTGCCAACCTTGTAGCGTCATACCCAAGAAGACTCAAGGCTGTAATCGCTGCCAAAGGTGCTTCAACTAAGTACTGAATAAAGGGTCTGAATACTTATGTAAATGTGATATTTCCGTTTTTAATTTATAAATTTGCAAAACATTTCTAAAAACCTGTTTTTGCTTTGTCATTATGGGGTATTGTGTGTAGATTGTTGAGAAAAAAAACAACAATTTAATCCATTTTAGAATAAGGCTGTAATGTAGCAAAATTTGGAAAAAGTCAAGGGGTCTAAATACTTTCCGAATGCACTGTAAAACCAATATAATGTAATACGCCATTTAGCAGACGCTTTTATCCAAAGCGACTTACAGTCATGTGTGCATACATTTTTACGTATGGGTGGTCCCGGGGATCGAACCCACAACCCTGGCGTTACAAGCGCCATGCTCTACCAATTGAGCTACAGAGGACCACAATACAGGGTTGTGTTCAGTACAGCATAGCAAAACATTTTGCATCAGAAAATGAATGTCCTTATTAAACAAGTCACAAGTGTTTTTATTCTTTACTAAATAAAGTGCTGCGTTTATTATTTTGCATACATTGTTGCTTCTGTTGAAATGGTGGTTAAAAAGTTTCATAGATTGTATGTTCATAAAACACATTTATATCAACTGCCTCTACGTTTATGATCCAGCAGAGTGCAGCATCGCTCCACTCCCTCTGTGTCATCAAATAAAATTGTATTTGTCACATTCTTCGTAAACAACGGATGTAGACGAACAATGAAATGCTTACTTACGGGCCCTTGCCAGCAACGCAGAGAGAGAATAACACAAGGAATAAATACACAATGACTAACAATAACTTGGCTATATACACAGGGTACCAGTACCGAGTCGATGTGCAGGGGTATGAGGTAATTGGGGTAGATATGTACATATAGGTAGGGATATAGTGACTAGGCAACAGGATAGATAATAAACAGTAGCAGCAGTGTATGTGATGAGTCAAAATAGTTAGTGCAAAAAGGGACAATGCAGATAGTCTGGGTAGCTATTTGGTTAACTATTTAGTCGATTTATGGCTTGGGGGTAGAAGTTGTTTAGGGTCCTGTTGATTCCAGACTTGGTGCATCGATACCGCTTGCCGTGCGGTGTCAGAGAGAACAGTGTATGACTTGGGTGGCTGGAGTCTTTGACAATTTTTTGGGTCTTCCTCTGACACCGCCTGGTATAGAGGTCCTGGATGGCAGGGAGCTCAGCCCCAGTGATGTACTGGGCCGTCCGCACTACCCTCTAGCGCGTTGAGGCCGAATGCCAAGAAGTTGCCATACCAAGCGGTGATGCAGCCAGTCAAGATGCTCTCAATGCTGCAGCTGTATAACTTTTTGAGGATCTGAGGGCCCATGCCAAATCTTTTCAGTCTCCTGAGGGGGAAGAGGCGTTGTTGTGCCAGCTTCTTCTCAACTGTGTTGGTGTGTGTGGACCATGTTAATTCCTTAGTGATGTGGACACCGATGAACTGGAAGCTCTCGACCCGCTCCACTACATCTCCTTCGATGTGGATGGGGGCGTGTTCGGCCCTCCGTGTGTGTGACACCTGCAGATGAGATGAGTGTTCCTAAAAGGCCACAGGAGGGAGCTAGTCCTCACATTGCCTCACAGCAGACACCTGAGGCAGGCTTTGAATTGGAAGACATTTCAGGCTACTGAATGACAAGGACTGCACTCTGTCCTCCTAGGCACCCTTTTTAGGGATTTGTGTATTTATACCCTCATGCACTGTACTGTATTGGGCTTATGTATGCATACCCTGTTTTTGGTTGATGTTTTTCTATGTTTTCTGAGAAGGTGCAGAGGATGGCGGCAACATAGGGTTCTGAGAGGATGGAGGGAGGGAGAGAACGTGTGGAGGAAAATAAATGTGTCTGACGTGATGAATGTTCCCAAACACACTGAAAGAATGACACACACACTCACTCACAACAGTATTTCTAGTAAAGCTGTTACCATTCACACCTCTACATCTTCAGGATCCCATCCATACTAAGGCCTACTGCTCCTACCAGAGTTCTAGCTCTTGGGGGCCCCAAAGTCAGATTTGTGCAGTACCTAATCTGTTTATAGAACCAGATCATCTATGTAGAGAGAATCAGCTTTGTTGTGTGGCATCATGGGTTAGGGTTAGAGTTAGGGTAGCGTCATGGGAGAGACATGAATCACTGAGCTGACATTAAGGGTTAGGGATTGAGGTGACTGGGTGAGTCATGTCTCTCTCTCTCTCTCACAGACACACACACACACTGTCCACCGGAATGGCCCCAGGAAAGAACACAGACATAGGGTAGTTATTGGATACAGAAGAACACACTAATGTGATGTCATCTTGTGACTTAGTTTGATTGTTTGTTTGAAGGTTGTTTGTCATGAAGCTGTGTGTGTGTGATTGTATGTATTTTACCATGGTGCTGCTATCAATACAATGTGTGGTTTTGGCAAAGCCTAGTATTTTGAAGATATCCTATCCCATTAATGTTCCATCTTGTCTGAGACACAGTTCTCCCAACATGGATTCAGAAGCTAAAATGGGCTGTGTTGTTGTGATTACTGATAGCTTCTCCTGTGGTGTGTGTGTGTGTGTGTGTGTGTGTGTCTGTCCCAGCTGATGAGGGTGCATGAATCTATTGGCTGCAGGCTCCATTCAACACTGTCCAATAGCATCTGGAGAGAGACAGAGAGAGAGAGGGAGAAAGAGAGAGAAGAGAAAGAGAGAGAGAAAGATGTGAACGTCGTGTTTTTTTCTTCCGTTAACGATAATCACGTCCTGTACCGTACTCAGTTGTTGCGGGGTTCACACCACAAATACTTAGGCTATTCCCGGGAGCTCACGGCATCGGTGGAATTTACCCCAGGCACGTCGCTGGTGCACGAGGCTCTGCAGTCACCGACACACGGTTCCAGGATTTCTCTCCTGTCCTCTCTCCCTCTCTTCTTTTCAGTTTTCTTCGCAGTGAGGGATGAAACGCTCTGTCATCTCACATTTTTACTGCAGCAGCCGCGTGAACAGACCAATGGAGCTATGACGTGTGTGTCGGTGAGTCTCATTTATCACCATGTTCTAGTGTGTGTGCGTGTGAGGGGGGGGGGGGGGGGGGGGGGGGTGTACTGTAGGCTACAGCAAACTCATTACTATTCATCTGATGTTGCGCTTCACAGTGAAATTGTGAAAATATATATATATTATAGATATATAGCTGAATATCAGATGGATAAGAGGTTGATTTTCTTTAGACATGTCCTGAGTCAAAACGTCATGATCTAAGCAGCACAACCGGTGTCATGGCCCCTGTAGCACCTGGGGGGTGTCACTGCAGCGAATGAAGAGGAATGGGCTCTGATTAAAATATTCAGCCATATGCAGCTGATACAGGGCCAGATATAGGATACCTGATGTTGCAGCTGCAGTAGGCTACCAGTCACAGCCAAGAGATACATTTAAATGTTACATATTCATCTCTTTCTCTCTCTCTCTCTAAAATAGATTCAATTCAAATGACCTTTATTGGCACGAATGGGCACGATCAATACAATATCAATGCTATAGCAACAACTAGTTGTGCGGACATGTTTTACATGCATACTAATTTCCCCGAAAGTGCAGTGGGGTTCTGAAATTTAGAAACAAAGGACTGATATTTAACAAAAATTACAATAAGGAAATTACATTAATAACAATTGCAATAACTATCACATACTGTACTGCCAGCCCCAAGACTGTTGGCATGTTGATTTTGAATGTATGCACAAAAGATTATTCACCTGAAATAATAATATATATTATTACACTGAAGTTAAGTGGTAACTGGGCAAAATAATTCCTTAATGGTGAGTAACTATAACTTGTTACCATGCTATTGCAATGTTATTACCACTTTACCCTGTGCTGTAACCAGTGGCGATTTAAGCATGTAAATCTTGGTGGGGCAAACTCAACATTTTTTTTTAGATGCATGCCAGCAAAGCCACTACACAACACAACACTAAACAATACATGAATTGCACTATAACGGTGACAAACGGTGCCCACAAACTGTTAGGGCCTACAGAAAGCTGTCCCAACAGCAGAGTTTTCTTTTCAGCACCATGGAGTGAATCCTTACCACCGCTACACCTGGCTATCAGCGGAGCCTAGTCTGTCAGCGAAACAGTTAATTCAGCCTCATTTACTGCCTTTTTAAAAAACAGAGCTGATATGGCTGACTTGCTTAAACAAATGTGGTTTCTACTGTCAATTGAGATGTATAAACTATGGCATAAGGGAACGATGAGCGGATAAGAGGCAATCTGTAATTTCGATTAAGACATTTAATGAGCGAGCTAAGACAGACGCAGTCAATACAACTATTTGTTCAGCGCTTTTGAAATGTACATCGACAGAATTCAGAACATGGGCCATTCTTAGGGCCATTCTTACAGTATTCTCCCTGTACACCAAGTCAGAACCGTAGGATAAATAAAGGGGGCATATAAGCAGACAATGAAAGCTCTTACAATATTCGATGATTACATTTCTCTAAAACAGGCTATAGGCTACATGTGCACCACCAAGTCAGAACAGTAGGCTAAATTCTGAGGGGGAAAGGGACCAAATTATTAGGGTGAGGCACATGGGCTACTAACAGCTTACTACACAACATACACTTAGTATTACTTTCTTAGCTACAGTATACATATCTCCCTGGCATATTACATAATTTATGCAGCAGCATACAATACATTTTTGGAATCACCGTTGTGCTGTTCTCACTTGAACAGGAAGGTGGTGCGGAAGTCCTTCTTCTGGGCAAATTTTGTCATGAAACTTTGTCATCAAAGTCTGGCATTCTCTAGATTTATGGTGCTTTCAAGACAACTGAGAACTCGGAAAAAAACAAGGTTGAATCATGACGTCAGTGATCTTCAGGTCGGAGCTCTAGAAAGAGGCCCGAGTTCCCGACTTGGAATTTCAAGTTGGATGACCACTCAAAACGTATTTTCCAAGTCGGAGATCGTTTTTTTCAGAGTTCCCAGTTGTCTTGAACTCACTGAAGTCTGAGATTTCAGAGTTTCCAGTTGTTTTGAACGAGGCAGAAGTCATGCTGGATTGACAGCATGGCCAATGTATTCAACCTTTTCTGGCCCATGGTGTTGCGCGTTAATGTTTATCCTTTTAAGCTTGGAAAAGAGACCCTTAAACCCAGACTTGGATCACACCCCTCTCCACCGAATAGCAGGGGAAGCAAAATAGTGATTGCTTTGCAGCGATTTCAGTTAGCCACTGATTCCCTCCAAACCACTAATTGTTGAATTTGCAATTTTCCAACTTGTTGTGTAATGTTTTTGTCCAATGCAATGGCCGATGAGCACCGATTCGTTTGATCTATAATTTATCTTCATATGACAAGGATTGAAAAGGATTTGCCAGTAGATTGTCGACGTGATTCATGATGATGACTGCTTGTCTAGCTTGCTAGCTAAGATTTTGAAAGTATGATGTTGACATGATCAGTCCAATCAAAGCTACGGTAGATATAACGTGATTTGACGTCATTTTATCTGTGGCCAATGACCTTGACCCTTCTTGGATGGGCACTTCAAATGTAAATCTATGGCAGTACCCAAGGGGGCTTGAACTTTCTAGCTCTCCCTGTAGATTTTGTGGTGACGTAGTGTCCCCATGAGTGACAGAACACTGAGCCAATCACGGCACAACTAGAGAAGATGACCAACCCCTATGCTCTGTATTTTCCGCTAGCTGCCCCTCCACCACAGAAAGCACTGAGCTAGGCTGAAGCACCTTTATGTTTGTATGCGGCTTTATTAACTCAATATATGTTTTTTGTTTTGTTTTTTTACATTGTTTGCAAACTGATATGTGACACGTATTAATGCCAAAATAACAGGCAAAACAGGCAACAACAAAACAGGTGGGGCTCAAAACAGGTGGCTCTGTCCCACCTGCCCTGAATAACGGGTCGCCACTGGCTGTAATATAAAATTATACCAAGATTACTCTCAGTTTCTCTGTAGTTGGAGAATGGGAGGAGATAATGTCTCTCAGTTTCTACCACTCTGCACCCTGAGAGGTTGCAGCCTGTTCTCTCTGGCCAGTCATGTTGTTTTAATGGGGTCTTCATGTCTATACTTTAAGTCTGCCTTTATTTGTGGTATTGTACTCTGTCAGACTAGGCTGTGTCAAAACTTGCATGCTCTTTTTTTTCAACTGTCAGTAGAAGAGGGAATTTGCCCAGTTCAGCCCGCATGCTTGGAGGAGAACCATTGTACATGCAGTATGTATATATCATTCAAGCTCTGTCTCAATCTTTTTCTCTCTGTTTGTCTCTCTGTCTCTCTCTCTCCCTCCCTCCAGGCAGAACAGTGTGACTGTACGAAGAGAACCGGGAGGTGACTGGCTGACCCAGGGAGGAGAGAGACATATTCTGAGACAAACACACACAGAAAACTGAGCAGGGCTGTGTAGAGTGTGTGTTAGACTCTCAGACGGAGTCCTGACCTTAACCCAACGCCGACGCTCCCACGTCCCTCCAACATGTCTCCCCCGTCTACCCCCACCCCGCTCCCCTCTCTGCCCTCCTCTCTACTGTGTGTCCTCTCCATGCTCCTGTCCCTGTTCAGACTGAGGGGCATCCTCCCCCCTCTCCTCTCACTTGTACTGTCCCTCCCCCCTGCTGCTAGCCAGTCACTCATCACCACGTCCCAGGGCAGACTGAGGGGTCAGTTGACCCCCCTGCCTTCTGACCTGCTGGGCCCTGTTGTCCAGTACCTGGGGGTCCCCTATGCCCGCCCCCCCACCGGAGAGAGACGCTTCCAGCCCCCCGAGCCCCCCCTGTCCTGGCCAGGGGTGAGGAACGCCACCCAGTTCTCCCCAGTCTGCCCCCAGCCTGTAGAGGAACACAGCCTGCTGACAGAGATGTTACCTCTCTGGTACTCTGCCAATCTGGACATAGCCAGCACATACCTGGCACAGCAGAGTGAAGACTGCCTCTACCTCAATATATACGTCCCCACTGAGGAAGGTATGTAGTATGTACAGTACACACACACACACACACAAATCATCTATCTCTACATATTTATGCATGCACCCACATATGTTTCTTTGCATACTACAAGAGCTGTTGAACACTCAGAAAATCTGGCTTGTGTGTGTGATTCCAGACATCCATGATGAAGGCGGTCTGCGGCCAGTGATGGTGTATGTCCATGGAGGTTCTTACTCAGAGGGGAGCGGCAACATGATGGACGGCAGTGTCCTCGCTAGCTATGGAAACGTCATCGTCATCACAATCAACTACAGGCTGGGAGTACTGGGTTAGTCAACTTCATCATCATCATCAGCGTCGTTGTCATCATCATCATCATTATCATCATCACCTTCATCTTCATCTTTACCATCATCATCATGAGATTCCGCCTAATCACCTTTCTGGCTTACTCTGGTTGAAATGTCACTGGTCTGTGTTGCCACTGAGAAGCTAGCAGCCTGTATATAGCCAGATTAATCTGTGTGTGTGAGAGAGAGAGAGAGAGAGAGAGAGAGAGGGGAGAGGTGGGGGTGAGAGAGAGAGAGAGAGAGAGAGTGTGTACGCCTGGTTAGAGGGGAGCCAACAGCTTTGTGTTTATGGCTCACAGTAGGTGGAGTTCAATTAAGCTTTATGAGAGGAGAGAGAAAGAGAGAGAGAGAGAGAGAAGAGAGGTGGGGGTGAGAGAGAGGAGAGGAGAGAGAGGAGAGGTGGGGTGAGAGAGAGAGAGAGAGAAGAGAGGTGGGGTGAGAGAGAGAGAGAGAGAGAGAGAAGAGAGGTGGGTGTGAGAGAGAGAGAGAGGAGAGGTGGGGTGAGAGAGTAAAGGAAAGGAGCGATAGTAACTGGTGTCCGCTAACCAACCAAGAATCCACAAAATGGGACAAACACCAAATTGAGACTCTACATGCATGTTCAATTTTACAACCACCTAAAAGGAAGCGATTCCCAAAACTTCCATAACAACGCCATCACCTACAGAGTAATTAACCTAGAGAAGAGTCCCCTAAGCAAGCTGGCCCTGGGGCTCTGTTCACAAACACAAACAGACCCCACAGAGCCCCAGGACATCAACGCAATTAGACCCAACCAAATCATGAGAAAACCAAAAGATAATTACTTGACACATTGGAAAGAATTAACCAACAAACAGAGCAAACTGCAATGCTATTTGGCCATAAATAGAGAGTACACAGTGGCAGAATACCTGACCACTGTGACTGACCCAAAATTAAGGAAAGCTTTGACTATGTAAAGATTCAGTAAGCATAGCCTTGCTATTGAGAGAGGCCGCCGTAGGCAGACCTGGCTCTCAAGAGAAGACAGGCTATGTGCACACTGCCCACACAATGAGGTGGAAACTGAGCTGCACTTCCTAACCTCCTGCCAAATGTATGACCATATTAGAGACACATATTTCCCTCAGATTACACAGAACCACAAAGAATTCGAAAACAAATTCAATTTTGATAAAAAAACTCCCATATCTATTGGGTGAAATACCACAGTGTGCCATCACAGCAGCAATATTTGTGACCTGTTGCCACAAGAAAAGGGCAACCAGTGAAGAACAAACACTATTGTAAATACAACCCATATTTATGTTTATTTATTTTTCCTTTTGTACAACACTGTACATATCCATAATATATGACATTTGAAATGTCTCTATTCCTTTGAAACTTTTGTTAGTGTAATGTTTACTGTTCATTTTTGATTGTTTATTTCACTTTTTTTGTTATCTATTTCACTTGCTTTGGCAATGTAAACATATGTTTCCCATGCCAATAAAGCTCTTTTAATTTAATTGAATTGAGAGAAGAGAGGCAGGGTGTGAGGTAGGAGGGGGAGGGAATAAGAGAGAGGGTAAGAGATGGGGAGGGGAGGGAAGAGAGAGAGAGAGGATAAGAGAGTGGGAGAGGAGGTGATCCAGGGAAAGAGGTAGTGAGGGAAGGGTCAAGAGGAAAAGGAGGAGGAAAGCAAGAGGGGAGAAGGAGAGGAGGTCTAAGTGATCTGATTTATAATCATTGAAGGTCACATGTATCTTGTGGCTCAGCCCTCAGTAACACACACTCCAGCTCATCCTGTTAGTGACACACTCATGTCTCTAATGTGGCGTGTGAATTAGTGACACACTCATTTTGCGTGTGCATGTGTTCAGTGACACATGACTCTTCTGCTGTCCCAGGTCTACCTCAGGTCTGACTGAGGGTGGTGAGCAACGGTCACATGACATCATCAGTCACTGGGTCCTCGGGATTTGGCTACACTGTCAAACATGTCTGTCAATCTGTGTTTAGACAATACATTGTATCTACAGTATAAGGGTTAGTGCGCAACTGTAGCCACTTACTGGATTAGGGTTAGGTTTAAACGGCATACTGTAATACTTGTTATTATTGATTTATTAAAATCATTAATGAGAAATTGATAATTATCTGCCGTAACAACCAATCCCCAGTGAGCCTACTAGTCCCAGAATTGTAAGGAATCAAACCTAGTTTGAAGTGGAGATCGGCCTTTAGTTCCAAGTCCATATTTACATCCTGCTGTTCATGTCTTTGATGAATTTTTTTTACATAAGTATTCAGACCCTTTGCTATGAGACTCGAAATTGAGCTCAGGTGCATCCTGTTTCCATTGATCATCCTTGAGATGTTTCTACAACTTGATTGGATTGGACATGATTTGGAAAGGCACACACCTGTCTATATAAGGTCCCACAGTTGACAGTGCATGTCAGAGCAAAAACTGAGCAATCGGGGGAGAAGGTCCTTGGTCAGGGAGGTGACCAAGAACCCGATGGTCACTCTGACAGAGCTCCAGAGTTCCTCTGTGGAGATGGGAGAACCTTCCAGAAGGACAATCATCTCTGCAGCACTCCACAATCATCGCTTTATGGTAGAGTGGCCAGATGGAAGCCACTCCTCAGTAAAAGGCACATGACAGCACGCTTGGAGTTTGCCAAGTCTCAAGGTTTTGCTCGCCTGAGGTAGAGTATCTCATGATAAGCTGTAGACCACACTATTTACCAAGAGAGTTTTCATCTATATTTTTCGTAGCTCTCTATTTACCACCACAAACCGATGCTGTCACTAAGGCTGCACTCAATGAGCTGTATAAGGCCATAAGCAAACAGGAAAACGCTCATCCAGAGGCGGCGCTCCTAGTGGCCGGGGACTTTAATGCAGGGAAACTTAAATCCGTTTTACCCAATTTATACCAGCATGTTAAATGTGCAACCAGAGGGAAAAAAATTCAGGTCAACATTCACAAGGCAGACAGATTACGAGGACTTGTACTCCGAGCATGCGCTGACCAACTTGCAAGTGTCTTCACTGACATTTTCAACCTCTCCCTGACTGAGTCTGTAATACCAACATGTTTCAAGCAGACCACCATAGTCCCTGTGCCCAAGAACACTAAGGTAACCTGCCTAAATGACTATAGACATGTAGCACTCACGTCTGTAGCCATTATCCCAGAAACCCTAGACCCACTCCAATTTGCATACCACCCCAACAGATCCACAGATGATGCAATCTCTATTGCACTCCACACTGTCCTTTCCCACCTGGACAAAAGGAACACCAACGTGAGAATGCTATTCATTGACAACAGCTCAGCGTTCAACACCATAGTGCCCTCAAAGCTCATCACTAAGCTAAGGACCCTGGGACTAAACACCTCCCTCTGCTCTGGCACCCCAATGGTGGAACAAGCTCCCTCACGACGCCAGGACAGCGGAGTCACTCACCACCTTCCGGAGACATTTGAAACCCCACCTCTTTAAGGAATACCTGGGATAGGATAAAGTAATCCTTCTACCCCCCCCCCCCCCCCCCCCCAAAAAAAATTTTTTATAAAAATAATAATTGGAAAGTGGTTATCCCACTGGCTATAGGGTGAATGCACCAATTTGTAAGTCGCTCTGGATAAGAGCGTCTGCTAAATGACATAAATGTGCCCTTGAGCAAGGCACTTAACCCTAATTGCTCCTGTAAGTCGCTCTGGATAAGAGCGTCTGCTAAATGACTAAAATGTAAATGTAAATGTAACTGGATCCTGGACTTCCTGACGGGCCGCCCCCAGGTGGTAAGGGTAGGTAACAACACATCTGCCATGCTGATCCTCAACACGGGGGCCCCTCAGGGGTGCTAGCTCAGTCCCCTCCTGTACTCCCTGTTCACCCATGACTGCATGGCCAGGCACGACTCCAACACCATCATTAAGTTTGCCGACGACACAACAGTGGTAGGCCTGATCACCGACAACGATGAGACAGCCTATAGGGAGGAGGTTAGAGACCTGGCCATGTGGTGCCAGGATAACAACCTCTCCCTCAACGTGATCAGATTTGGCATGGGTCCTCAGATCCTCAAAGGTTTCTACAGATGCACCATCGAGAGCATCCTGACTGGTTGCATCACTGCCTGGTATGGCAACTGACTGGTTGCATCACTGCCTGGTATGGCAATCCTGGTTGTGTGGTGCCAGGATAACAACCTCTCCCTCAACGTGATCAAGACAAAGGAGATGATTGTGGACTACAGGAAAAAGAAGAGGACCGAGCACGCCCCCATTCTCATCGACAGGTCTGTAGTGGAGCAGGTTGAGAGCTTCAAGTTCCTTGGTGTCCATGTCACCAACAAACTATCATGGTCCAAACGCACCAAGACAGTCGTGAAGAGGGCATAACAAAGCCTTTTCCCCCTCAGGAGACTGAAAAGATTTGGCATGGGTCCTCAGATCCTCAAAAGGTTCTACAGATGCACCATCGAGAGCATCCTGACTGGTTGCATCACTGCCTGGTATGGCAACTGCTCGGCCTCCGACTGCAAGGCACTACAGAGGGTAGTGCGTACGGCCCAGTACATAGTCACTTTAACTATACCTACATGTACATATTACCGCAATTACCTTGACTAACCGGTGCCCCCGCACATTGACTCTGTACCGGTAACCCCTGTATATAGCTTCGCTACTGTTATTTTTACTGTTATTTTACAGCTTTTATTTTTTACTTATCTATTGTTTACTTAACACTTATTTTAAAACTGCATTGTTGGTTAGGTCTTGTAAGTAAGCATTTCACTGTAAGGTCTACACCTGTTGTATTCGGTGCAAGTGACAAATCAAATTTGATTTGATTTGAAAAGGCACCTAAAGAACTCTGTCGACCATGAGAAACACCTCATGGTGTGGCGCAGTGGTCTAAGGCACTGCATCGCAGTGATAACTGTGTCACTAGAGATCCTGGTTCGAATCCAGGCTCTGTCGCCCGCGACCGGGAGACTCATGGGCGGCGCACAATTGGCCCAGCGTCGTCCAGGGTAGGGGAGGGAATGGCCGGCAGGGATGTAGCTCAGTTGATAGAGCATGGCGTTTGCAACGCCAGGGTTGTGGGTTCGATTCCCACGGGGGGCCAGTATAAAAAAAATGTATTCACTAACTGTAAGTTGCTCTGGATAAGAGCGTCTGCTAAATGACTAAAATGTAAAATGTAAACAAGATTCTCTGGTCTGATGAAACCAAGATTGAACTCTTTGGCCTGAATGCCAAGTGTCACGTCTGGAGGAAACCAGGCACCGCTCATCACCTGGCCAATACCATCCCTACGGTGAAGCATGGTGGTGGTAGCATCATGCTGTGGGGATGTTTTTCAACGGCAGGGACTGGGAGACTAGTCAGGATTGAGGGAAAGACGAACTGAGAAAAGTACAGAGAGATCCTTGATGAAAACCTGCTCAGGACCTCAGACTGGGCGAAGGTTCACCTTCCAACAGGACAACGTCCCTAAGCACACAGCCAAGACAACTCAGGAGTGGCTTCAGGACAAGTCACTGAATGTCCTTGAGTGGTCCAGCCAGAGCCCGGACTTGAACCCGATCTAACATCTCTGGAGAGACCTGAAAATAGCTGTGCAGCGACGCTCCCTATCCAACCTAACAGAGCTTGAGAGGATCTGTAGAGAAGAATGGGAGGAACTCCCGAAATACAGGAGTGCCAAGCTTGTAGCGTTATACCCAGGAAGACTAAAGGATGTAATCACTGCCAAAGGTGCTGCAACAAAGTACTGAGTAAAGGGTCTGAATACTTGTGTAAATGTGATATTTCAGTTGTTTATTTTTTTTAAAATTTGCTAACATTTCTAAAAACCTGTTTTTGCTTTGTCATTATGGGGCATTGTGTGTAGATTGATGTGGATTTTTTTTATTTTTATAATAAGGCTGTAACGTAACAAAATGTGGAACAAGTCAAGGGGTCTGAATACTTTCCGAATGCACTGTATTTCTGTTTGTTGTGTTATTTTAAACATTTTACTCTAATATCTACTAGACTTTCCTTTGATATTGCTGTGTAATTTATATGTGTTACTTCCTTAGGTTTCCTCAGTACGGGTGACCAGGCAGCTAAAGGCAACTATGGTCTGTTGGACCAGATCCAGGCTCTGCGCTGGGTGAAGGAGAACATTGCTGCATTCAGCGGAGACCCAGACAGAGTCACCGTGTTTGGCTCTGGGGCTGGAGCCTCCTGTGTCAGCCTGCTAACTCTGTCCCACTACTCTGAGGGTAAGTAACCTCTAACCCCTGAACCCTAACTCTTGACCTTTAACTTCTAACTTTCAGCCTGGTCACAGTTCTCAAAGAATCACCTCCAATTCCTGACCCATAACCTCTGACCTCTAACCTCTGTCAGCATGCTGTGTATCAGATCTGTTCCAGAAGGCGATCATCCAGAGTGGGACAGCCCTGTCCAGCTGGGCGGTCAACTACCAGCCAGGGAAGTATGCAAGGCTGCTGGGGGACAAGGTGGGCTGCAGCCTGGAGGACTCATCAGAGCTGATCGTCTGCCTGCAGGGGAAGACCTACCAGGAGCTGGTGGAACAGAACATCACTCCAGCTAAATACCACACCGCCTTCGGACCTGTCATCGACGGTGATGTCATCCCTGATGACCCCCAGATACTCATGGAGCAGGTGAGAAAATATAGAACACTATGGTATATATAGATTATACATGTATTACAAGTTATTCTGAAAATGTTAGACCTGGACATAGCACCATTTCAGCAGCTACGTTTGTCTTAAATTATATATTAAATTGCTTAGATCATAGGAATCACTGTGCTGCCACATGTATAGATCTATCAAAGGCCTTTGATACTGTCGACCATCCCCTACTCATTCAAAGGTTGTCTGAAATTGGCCTCGACCAGGCGTCTTGCAAGTGGTTTGGGAACTAGCTGTCAGATAGGACACAATGTGTGCTTTCTGATGGTGTCAAGTTTCCTCGATATTACTAAAGGTGTCCCGCAGGGGTCGATTTTGGGACTTGTCCTCTTTACTATTTATATAAATAAAATTGGTCTATCTCCAAAAACCTGTAACATTCATCTGTATGCAGATGACACTGTTATGTGTGCGTAAAAAAAATAATCAGATGGCTTACACATTTATGCATTGGATGGTTCTTTCATTGAGCAGGTTCCCGACTATAAATATCTGGGCTTTTGGACTGATAATAATTTGACGTTCAAAAAACGAGTTAAGAAGCTGAGATTTAAAATAGGCTTATTTTATAGAAATAGATAATTCTTCTCCCCGATCAGCAGGAGGCAGATTGTACAGTCAACTTTCCTGCCAGATCTTGACAACGGTGACACCATTTATCGGAATGCAGCAGCCACTACTCTTAAACCTTTGGATGCCATCTATCATAGCTTTTCGCTTTGTCACAGGTGATAGTTTTAATATGCATCACTGCATCCTGTATTAAAAGGTTGGCTGGTCCTCATTAAAGTCCTGTAGATCACTTCATTACTCCCTTTTTGTCTACAAAGCTCTACTATACAAGCTCCTGACTTACCTAACTTCGTTGTTAAAGTATAAAAACATGAGATACCAAACCCCTTCACAGGGTTGGTTGACTCTTGAGATTCCTCGGGTCTCCACCGAACTAGGTAAATCCGCTTTTAGTTTTAATCCTCCAGATTTTTGGAATCACTTTCAAAATTCATTACATTTGGATTCCCTGGTGCCACTAAGGCAGTTTAAAACCCTGATGATAAATGAGTTCACCGAGGTGTGCAATTGTTTTGATTGACTTTAATAATTTGTTTATGATGCCTGTGATGTTTGTGATGTTCTAATGTAATGTACTTGTTATTCTATCTTGTAGTTTTTATATTTTATTTTATGTCCTCAGGACACCATTGAAAAAACAGAGATCACCCAAGAAGAAATATTAGATACTGTTAAAATATTAGCATGGAGAAAAGCACCAGGAATGGATGGCTTTCCCATAGAATTCTATTCAACATTTTGGGACAAGGTAGCCCCACTATTTACACAAATGACAAAGCACATGTCACTCAATTCAATACTTCCTAGTTCCATGTATCAAACGGTTATTACAGTTATGTTATGAGTCCCCTGCTGATTATAGACCCATACGTTTAATAAATTGTGACAATAAAATAATAACAAAGCTTATAAGCAATAAAATGGCAAAAGTCTTACCAGACTTGAAACAGTATATATTAATCAAACAAGGTTTATTAAAAATAGACACAAACAAATACAAGAACATGTTCCAGTTTAATACAATAACCCCAAAAACAAGATATACATTTATCAAAAATGGCTGTTGATGCTGAAAAAGGCTTTTGACTGTCTAGAATGGCTTTTTCTATTCAAAACTTTGGAAGCTTTCAACTTTCCAGCTGAAATAATAAATGTAATAAAGCCAAAATATACACAAATAATATATTATCTGTTGAAATTGCTTTAGAAAGGGGCACAAGACAGGGATGCCACTTCATATTTAAGAACACTATAACAATATCAAAGAAAATGAAACATATTCTACAAGAACCAATATCACTCCCTAAAAACACAACCTTATGGAACGATCCTTGGACAGCTTTTCAGAATTCATAAATTGGTCCACATGGAAAACTAAAGGCATAAAAAACGTAAATTACTTGGTAACAGGAAATACATGTATTTCCATTACAGAATTAAAAAGTAATTTTGGACTGACCAATGAAGATACAGTCATTTTAAATACATGCAACTTAAAAGTTACATATCACAAAATTTCAGAGCGACCTTGAGGGTATCTTATTTGAGTCGGAAACGGATGCTCATATGATAGGTGTGACGAGTACTGAGGATACGAAGAGGCAGGACGCAGATGCAGGAATCAACAATGTAAAGGTTTACTTAACACTGAGCAAGAGAACAACAAAGAGCGAGTACACGACAAGACACTGCCGGTCCTGACAGTGGCAACGAAGAAACCACCCCGGCTCCTGGTTCATGTGCTCCACCTGCCCATTCGACTGAGGCCTATACCCGGAAGTGAGGCTGGCTGTGGCCCCGATCTTCTCCAGGAAAGCCTTCCACACTCGGGAGGTGAATTGGGGGTCACGGTCCGAGACTATGTCCTCCTGAAGTCCATAATGCCAGAAGACCTGTTGAAACAGGACCTCAGCGATCTGGAGAGCAGAAGGAAGACCAGTTAGTGGCAAAAAACGGCATGATTTGGAGAACCGATCTACGACCACCAGGACTGTTGTGGAGCCGTCCGACCGTGGGAGGTCAGTGACAAAGTCTCTGGACAGGTGTGACCAAGGTCACTCAGGCACTGGGAGAGGAACTAGTTTGCCTGCCGGGGCGTTCCGAGGTATCTTTGTTTGGGCACATATGGAACAGGAGTTGATACAGCGGGAGACATCAGTAGCCAAGGTGGGCCACCAGTACTTTTGTGAGAGAGAATGCGCGTAATACTGCCGTAAGGGTGGTGTGCGCCTAGATCAGCAGGCGGTCACGGACCCTGGTGGGTACATACACGCACCCCGGAGGGGCGTTGGCAGGCGCTGGGTCCTCCTGAGCCACCAGGTGGATGTCTTCGTCCACATCCCAAACGACAGGTGCCACGATGAGAGACGGAGGCAAGATAGGACCCCCCAGATCCTTCCTTTCTCCGGTATGGTGCATCCTGGAGAGTGCGTCGGCTTTCACATTCTGGGATCCTGGGCGGTAGGACAGAATAAACTGAAAGCAAGTAAGAAATTGGGCCCACCTGGCTTGACGAGAGTTCATCCATTTTGCTGCCCGTATGTGCTCCAAATTCCGGTGGTCAGTGAGAATCCGGAATGGATGGACTGCGCACTCCAGCCAGTGTCTCCATTCCTCCAGAGCGAGGACCACCGCCAACAGCTTCCTGTCTACTCAGCATGTCTCAGAACACGTCATTGACGAAGGACTGGAACATGGAAGGTGCGTTGGCGAGGCCGTAGGGCATGACGCAGTATTCATCGTGGCCTGAGGTAGTGCTGAATGCAGTCTTCCACTCATCTCCTTCCCGGATTCGGATCAGGTTGTAGGCACTCCTTGGGTCCAACTTGGTAAAGTACCGGGCCCCTCGCCGCTGCTCGATGGCCGACGGAACCAGAGGGAGGGGGTACCGGTACTTGGTGGTGACTGCGTTCAGCCCCCGGTAGTCAATGCACGGCCTCAGTCCTCCGTCTTTTTTGGCGTCGAAGAAGAAGCTGGCGGAGGCAGGAGAGGTAGAGCGTCTGATGAACCCCTGTTTCAGGGTCTCCGCCACATACTTCTCCATGGCCTCAGTCTCCACTATGGAGAGGGAGTAAATGCGACTCTTTGGGGGGTGTTGTCCCTCCAGCAGGTCAATGGCGCAGTCCCAGGGCCAGTGAGGAGGGAGACACTTGGAGGCAGAGAAGACATCGGAGAGATTTGCGTACTCACGTGAAATGTTGGGCTGGAGGGCGGACTCCGGACTCTCCACTGACGTGGAACAACAAACCACCGGCAGGCAGGTCCTCCGGAATGAGGAGAACCAGGTTGTGATCCTCTTAGTGATCCAATTGATGGTGGGGTTGTGTAGTCTGAGCCAGGGCAATCCCAAGACGATCCGGTGAAGGGGTGATGTGACAATGTGGAAGGACAGCTCCTCGTGGTGCTCCAGTAGTGTGGGAATGGTGATGGTAATGGAGAGAGTGACGTGCGTAATGGTGCCTGATCCAAGTGGTTTATTGTCCAGCGAGGTGAGGTGTAGCGGAGAAGGCAGTGGCACGGTGGACAACCCCCATTCAGAGACCAGCTCCCTATCTATAAGGTTCCCCGCTGATCCGGAATCTATCATTGCCGTTGAAAGCGAAGAGAAGGAAGAACCATTCACCATTAGGGGAACTAAAAACAGTGGTTTGGTGACAGGTGATGAAGGAACACTTACGGAGCGGCGACGGGAGTCATACCGCCTAGATAGGGAGCCGCCAGGAGATATGTGGTCCGTGGTGGTGTAGGGGGTGTTTCCCACCTCCATGGGTGAGGACCCGGAGGCAGGGCGGCTTCCATAGCTCCGATGGGGTGAGCGTCGAGGCTCCGGGAGGTGTTGGGAACGCTGTTGGTCTCCCAACATGTCGTCAAGACAAATGGACGTGGCAATGAGGGTATCAAGGTCCATCTCGTCGTCCCGACATGCGAGTTCTGTCGTGATGTCCTTCCGTAAGCCTCTACTGAAGGCCTTGCGCAGAGCACGCTCATTCCAGCCGGAAGATGCCGCCACTGTGCGAAAGATCAGGGCGTACTCGAACGCGGCCCCCTCTCCCTGTTGTAGCCGGAGGAGACGCTCACCCCCGTCCTTTCCCTCCGTGGGAAGATCGAACACCGCCCTGAACCGAGCGAGAAATGTGGAGTAGGGAAGCGCTGCGGCCTCACCTCCTTCCTAGACGGCCGTGGCCCAATCCAGCACCTTTCCCTTCAGTAGCGAAATCACCAGCACTATCCTGGCTTGGTCCGATGGAGATGCCCCACGCTGACGCGCCAGATACAGTGAAACCTGTAGCAGGAAGCCTCTACATTTTGTCGTTTTCCCGTCATAGCACTCCGGCAGGGCGAGGGGTCCCTCAGACATTGGTGATAGCATGGGAGTAGGTGGACTGGGTGCACTCGCCGCTCCCTGAGGTGGAATCGGAGCGATGGTCAGTTTATGCAGCGTTTGGAGCACTTCCTATATGGCAGCGTTCAGCTGGGCAATCTGCTGCTGGTGCTGGTCGAGGCGCTGGGAAACACCAGGAGGATTACCTGCTGCATCCATCTTCGTGATTGGTGTGTGATTCTGTGACGAGTACTGAGGATACGAAGAGGCAGGACACAGACGCAGGAATCAACAATGTAAAGGTTATTTAACACTGAGCAAGACAACAACAAAGAGCAAGTAGGGAATATACAAAACCTTGCAGAGGACACATCCAACTGACAATCGCTTATAAAAAAATATTAATATAAACAAAAAATAACTGATGTTGGCACAAGATGGAGGGAAAGTTGGAGCATAACTAACGAAATTACAGTTAACGAAAATGTACACTTAATCCAGTAGAAGCTAATGTATAGAATGTATTATACAACAGACAAAATTCATGTCTTACGTGTAAAACTAATAATGACTCAATAATCCATGCTTTCTGGGAATGCTATAAAGTCCGGAAGTTGTGGGCGGAGCTATAAAGTTGGCTGTCAGAAGTATTACAATGTAAATGTACTTTTAATCCGTCTGTCTGCATATTTCAAGACATGGCATATGGGGGTGTGGTGAGATACCCTATGGGCTGGACGATTCTCTTCTCATCACTCATCTTGAAAATACGTATTGTAAAAACGTGGAAATCAATCAATCCACCATCATTAACACAATGGAAAAATCAAATGATTTATTATTTAAATATTTAAATAGCATGGGTGACTGAGAAAAACAAATTGATACAATTGCAGGCCATGTGGCAAACAATAATGCATGCACTAGGGATGGGTGTGCACTAGGGATGGGGGTGTGAGCATGCGGGTCCGGGCAGATGAGATGTACTCATTGTTTGTGTGCGTCTATAAGTTGTTGTTCGTAATGTTTGTATATGGAGTAAAAAATTAATACAATTGGGCTCCCCTGAGTAAATAAAAGTTAATAATAAAATATGGTTTATTAGATTTAGCAAGATTTGGTTCTGGGTTCTGAGTCAGGGTTAAGGATGCACAATATTGTTATTGTCAACCCTGTTCTTCACACACAGGGGGAGTTCCTCAACTATGACATCATGCTGGGTGTGAACCAGGGGGAGGGGCTTCAGTTCGTTGACGGGATTGTTGACAGTGAGGACGGTGTCTCCGGCGACGATTTTGACTTTGCCGTGTCGGACTTCGTGGACAGTCTCTACGGCTACCCGGAGGGGAAGGTAGGCTGTAGGAAAATGTATATGCCCACCCAGTGTTTCTACGCAAGGTGTTGGAGGGCAAAGAATATGTTCAGCAAAAAGTCAAACTGCACTCTGCATACTGCAATCTATCTATGCTCCCATGTGCTTTATTGACAAGGTATTTTTGTACCTTGTTTTTATCCTTGCGGCAAGGACACGCTGAGAGAGAGCATCAAGTTCATGTACACAGACTGGGCCGACCGGGAGAACCCTGAAACCCGGCGGAAGACGCTAGTCGCGCTGTTCACTGATCACCAGTGGGTGGCGCCGGCGGTGGCCACAGCAGACCTCCACGCCCAGTACGGATCGCCAACATATTTCTACTCCTTCTACCACCACTGTCAGAGTGACACATCGCCCGCCTGGGCTGACTCCTCCCACGGAGATGAGGTGCCGTATGTGTTCGGTCTACCGCTGATCGGACCCACGGACCTCTTCAACTGTAACTTCTCTAAGAACGATGTGATGCTCAGCGCCGTGGTCATGACATACTGGACGAACTTCGCCAAGACAGGGTGAGAAAAATCTCTTGTCTAACTCCTTCGCTAACAAATATCTCTTACTTTCCTCTATTGAATGGTAAAGTAACCACGGTTCACTTTTAAGATCTATTTCTGATTGTGTTTGTGCTTCGTCTCAGAGATCCTAACCAGCCGGTGCCCCAGGACACCAAGTTCATCCACACCAAACCCAACCGCTTTGAGGAGGTGGCCTGGGCCAAGTACACCCCCAAGGAACAGCTGTACCTGCACATCGGCTTGAAGCCACGCGTCAGAGACCACTACAGGTAGATCAGATAATCACAGACCACTACAGAACACTACAGGTAGATCAGATAATCACAGACCACTACAGAACACTTCAGACAGATCACATAGTCACAGGCCACTACAGGTAGATCAGATAATCACAAACCACTACAGACCACTACAGATAGATCAGATAATCACAGACCACTACAGGTAGACATTTCTTTGCCAACCTTTCCAAGAGCAACAGATATCTTGCTGCTGCCATATCTTGTTCAAGAATGTATAATGAACCACTTTGTACTGTTATTGTGTATATTTTATCAGATTCCTTGTGAAATGTATTTTTTCTTTGTATGGATGATGATTCTACTGCAAAACCCCCCAAAAACATTTTTCTTATCCAACTCCAGAGCTGCCAAGACAGCGTTCTGGCTACAGCTGGTGCCCCACCTCCACAACATCAACGAGTTGCTGCAGTACGTGTCCTCTGCAACCCACAGCCCTCCCCAGGACACCACCCCCCACTCCTACACCAAGCGGCTGTCTAAAGGCCTGGGCCTGGGTAGCACGCGCCACCCCAACCCCAACCCCCCGGCCACGCCCCAGGCTCCAGCACTGCAGGGGGAGGAGCTGCAGGTCCCACACCCCGTTATGGAGGACTACTCCACTGAGCTGAGTGTTACCATTGCAGTGGGAGCCTCACTCCTCTTCCTCAACATCCTGGCCTTTGCAGCTCTGCTCTACAAGAAGGACAAACGCAAGATGGAACATCGCAGGCTGCCACGCCCACCTCCACGCCGTGACATCATGAACGCTGACATCACACACCAGCTGCAGGGGGAGGGGCTTCTGAAGCAGCTGGAGGCTGAGGCTCTGCACCAACACAACACGCTGGAGATACACGACACACACAACATACACCACACGCTGGAGGCTCTGGACACACTGGACACACAGGACATCTACAACACTCTGGACACCCTGCGACTGACCTGTCCACCTGACTACACCCTGACCCTGAGACGCTCCCCTGACGACGTGCCCCTGATGACCCCCAGGTCCCTGCCCATGACCCCTGGCTCTCACCCCACCACCCCCATGACCCCCATGACCCCCATGACACCTGGCTCTGTTGTGGGGGTGCAGCCCATGCAGGGCTATAGTCCTTACAGTAACACTCACCTGCCCAATACACACATGCACACACACCCCAACACACACACACATTCTACCACACGCGTATAACCACAGACAGAGATGGAGCAGAACGGAGCAGGATAGTTTCTCCAGCATCTAAAATGGCGGAACGATCCAGTCTGCAGTATTGCATGAGTAGAACACTAAGGAGTGGAAGTGATGAACTCTGGGAGAGGAAGTAATGTGCATCAGTAAATGGAACATTATAAATGAGAACTTCCAATATGGCTGGCAATTTGGTTCATACATCATGGAAACATTGCTTGTCTATAAGCTGCGTCCGAAATGGCCGAAGTTGCCATGTGACTTGCCCTGGAGCAGGGCTGCTGTGATGTCCAGATCAGATCAGACTACTGACTGAACCTTCTGGGAACAACTTGAATAACCTGTGAAATGTGAATGTAGAATATTTCAATTGCAATGAAATCCTTCAGAGGATCAACATTCCTTGCAGCTCTGTGCTCAGCCAGGCCATGGATGTGGTCTGAAGGACAGACAGACACAGACAGACAGAGAACAACAGATGGACAGGGACAGAGACAGACTGTATTTATAGCACCTGGGACAAAGTCCTCTGAAGGGTTCAACAATAACAAGTTCAACAGTCCGAAGATCTACCAACCAGCAGTCTGTTCAAATATGTAAATAACTTGTAAACATAATGGAGAAAAGATGGTAAGATGTAAAGCTTTTACTGTTTTATTGCATTAAAATATGTTATTTAACGACCGTAGGCTTTAATTTGAGTTCATTATAAATGTATAGGTCCTCAGAACAAGATGTAATTTGACCCTTACCTCTGACCTCCTGACCCTAACACTAACCCTGACCACATCTATGCCCAACCTCTTCCCTGATCTGTAACTGGGTCTGTCCTTGGTCCCATCTCTCAGCCATGGACCCTTACTTTTGTCCTTACCCCTGACCTGTAACCTCTGACCCTGACCTCTAACCCTATCCTCATCCAAACTTCGACCCACATCCTAACTTCGACCCTCATCCTATCCTCAACCTGTCTATGAACTCTTATTTCAGTCCTTACCCTTATTGACCCCTTACCTCTAACCCTGTCATCTAACCCTGATCCTGACCCTACCTGCTTCCACCATGTCTCCCAGAGACAAAACTGATCAGTTGACCTGAGACCCTAATTCAATCATACTGACGTCTAAAACGTTATGATTGAAATCTGGCCCGACACAAATTCTGCATTTGTGAACTTTTTGAACCACAAAATAAAACTCATATAAAGTCATATACTGTATTGTATTTAAAGAAAGCTGAAACAGTGGATCTGAAACGATTAATCTTATTTGAAATGCTACCATAGGCTAGATTAGAATATGTATCTTTTTCAAAATATTTTCTGTTTCTGCCTTAACGGATGGAAGGAGTCTTTGCTGTATGTACTGTATGAACTTTCTGCTGCATTTTGTTAAATAAAGTATCAGTATTTTACCATTTATATGTTTCTCATATATATATACTATACTCTCAAAGGAATACTGTCTTCTGGGATAAAAATCCTGATGTTCATAAACAAACCCACAGTTTTTCAGGACACACACACACAGCACGAATTAATGTTCTCTCTCTCTCTCTCTCTCTCTCTCTCTCTCTCTCTCTCTCTCTCTCTCTCTCTCTCTCTCTCTCTCTCTCTCTCTCTCTCTCTCTCTCTCTCTCTCTCTCTCGCTCTCTCTCGCTCTCTCTCTCTCTCTCTCTCTCTCTCTCGCCACTAAATGGCTGTGTGGTTATCTGATGCCCTTCAGCTGATCTTGAAGGATCACAGTAGCTGAGGAGCAGACCAGCCGTTTTCAGAGAAAAACCTTCAAACTGAATCAGTCATGATTTCTCCCCTCTGCCCTGGAGAATAACAACGAGAGCTGAGTGTAAAAGAGGAGATACTGCACTGTAAAACATTTCATAAAAAATAATACAGTAACTTACTGGCAGATATTGGTCAAAAAGTTACTGTAATTTATTTGACGGCAATCAATTTTACAGTACCAAACATTTTAATGTAATCTAATTTACAGTATATTACTGGAATTACCCACGCAGCGACATATTACCCAGTGTTCTTTGCATGTTTTCATATTTATATTTACATTTTGGTCATTTAGCGGGCTTTGTTTACATGACTATTACGGCCTACTGCCATAATCAGTTTAATACCATATTATTAGTGTGCATGTAAACGTACTCGATACAGTAAAGTGACTATTAAACTGTATGATTGTTTTTTCTACAGTATTTTACTGTAATTACAGGGGATTAGAGAAAGCATACAGGTTGGCTGTAGGCATTTGCATATTACAGCATATTAATGAATACTAGATGTTTGATATCACTTGCATTTCCAGAGGCCTAAACAAAGGCTTCCAAACTGGCTGTGATTACAGGGCAAAACAGATCAAAAGGACATGTCTAGCCACTCAATCATGAAAGGTTTGCGACTTTCTACCACTCTGATCTGTCCCCTAAATAAATGTAATTAATAGGGAACCACAAAAAACATCTCTTACACCTCTTACAAGACACACCTCAAAAAATGAGTGAGAAACAGCAATACCATGCACCCACTAGCGTTCAAAAGGTTTTTGGCATTCCAACAATGCGGCATGGTACTGTATTCTGAATTACAGTAAATTACTGGCAGCAATTGGCCAGTAAGTTACTGTAAAGTTTCAGGACAATGTTTGTAGAATTCCTAAAATACAGTATATTGACATATTATGTGGGGGTACAGCATTCTCACTCATGGGACTCTTACAAGACATGTCTTAAAATATGTTAATTAGCCAGAGACTCTTTCCCTCCCACAACATTTCCCCACAATGCACCATACTTAATACTGTAAAATACATTTACTGTATTTTACTGTGCATTCTACAGTGTTTTACTGTTGAACTTACAAAAAGGTCTTACAGTGTGCTGTAAAACAAATGTACGTTATTGTGCATTCTACGGTAATCTACTGTATTCAGTTTATACAGTATCATACTGTTGATTAATACCTGCTGTTTCAACCCCCCCCCCTTCTCACTCTACCGCACCTGCTGTCTCGACCTCTGAATCCTCGGTTACGAAAAGCCAACTGATATTTACTCCTGAGGTGCTGACCTGTTGCACCCTCTATAACCACTGTGATTATTATTTGACCCTGCTGGTCATTTATGAATGTCTGAACATCTTGAAGAACGATCTAGCCTTAATGGCCATGTACTATTATAATCTACACCGGCACAGCCAGAAGAGGACTGGCCAACCCTCAGAGCCTGGTTCTCTCTAGCTTTCTTCGTAGGTTCCTGCCTTTCTATGGAGTTTTTCCTAGCCACCATGCTTCTACTTCTGCATTGCTTGCTGTTTGGGGTTTAAGGTTGGATTTCTGTATAAGTACTGTGTGACATCTGCTGATGTAAAAAGGGCTTAATAAATACATTTGATTGATTGATTGAAGTTACATGTTTAAATACCCTGTGCTACTCCCTCTCCTCTCCTCTCCTCTCCTCTCCTCTCCTCTCCTCTCCTCTCCTCTCCTCTCCTCTCCTCTCCTCTCCTCTCCTCTCCTCTCCTCTCCTCTCCTCTCCTCTCCTCTCCTCTCCTCTCCTCTCCTCTCCTCTCCTCTCCGCTCTCCCCCCCCTCTCCTCTCCTCTCCTCTCTTTTTCTCTCCTCTCCTCCCCCGCTCTCCTCAACATCCCCTGTGTGCTTTATGAATTATGAGAAGAAAATCATTAGTGCTCTTTCTGGTGGAAATTAAAGTGCCGTTCTGGAGAGGAATTTTGAGGGGAAATGTGAGGCTGGAGATTTAGTGATGAAACATTCGCTCTCCATCCAAAGGACAATAGCTCACAGGACCTGAATTATAATTACTCCCTCCTCCAATCTCTCTTTTCTCACTCATCACTAGCCCTCCCCCTCTGCCTCGCTATCTTCGGATTGTGCCCTCCTTTAAATGTGACCAAGCATGATGCTGTGACCTTGCAAGAAAATACATTATTTTCCTCCAGACAAACACTGAAGGTGAGTTTTTCTAACAACAGGGATGAGAAAAAAAGGGGGCTTTTCACATTGCACATTTTCCTGCTTAGTCCAGCGCTAAAACCTAAGCTACCCTGCTCCGGAGCAGGGTTACTGTTTATTTGGGGCTAGCCCCAGAAATTTCTCAAAATTGCCAGTGTGAAATATTTGTTTGGCGTCAACATTTATTATCCAATTACACTGCACCACCATTACTACATTACTAATATTTTCTCATACTAATTTGTTTGTTGTAGTGGCTAGCAAGGCTGGAGTTGTCACAAAATACTCAAAACTTCTCAATTTCTATTTCTCTCGCTCTCTCCATCTCTCCCTGGCAACAGTGACCTGAACACAATGCCTTTTCTCATAGAGCCCTTCTCTTCCCTAGATAGATACTGCTGCACACACACACACACACACACACACACAACTACAGTATATATACATACAGGTTGTGTGCAGGTGCTGAATGTTGCCTGAGACCGAAGTGAAACTAGTAATTACGTTATTATATCGGAGATGACATTTTCATTTTGTATGAAACGGTAATGGAGTAATTCCATGTTAAATCCTTTGAGAATCCTTATTCCCTTATTCTGAGTTTGTGTTTAATTGTTGCCTGAGGCTCAGTGACTGAGCTGTGCTTTGATGTTTCTCTTTAAAACCACCTCTGTTCTATTTCTGTTCTGATGCCGCAGCTGATACAAGAACAAAACAGATTTTTTAAAGATGAAATGGAACTGCAGACGTACGCCAAACCTCTTGGTGCTGTGCATCCGGTTTATAGGCCCTTTACTTTACTTTACTTTACTTTACTTACTTTATTGTCCCCATGGGGAAATTTTGTTGCAGTGTCATGTACACATTTAAAGTGGCGTTAAATACAAAACAAGATTGACAATACAACTTTCAATAACAGTCACGCACCAATAAAAGTAAGAAATGAGAAATAAAACATTTAAAACATTTAAAACAAAGACTAGCCTGCTGGCCTTACGGGGTCAATGGGAACATTTGCCCGA